TGATGGCTCAATGTGAAATTATTGAAGTTAAGCTGATGAAGATCGATTGGCACAAAAACCAGTGTAAATATATCTATTTACAATATAAGTTCCTGAAATTGGGAGGCCAGTGATACCTGTTGAGGGAATTTGGTGATAATGTAGTCTCTAATAGTAATAAGTTGTTTAATTGGTGGGTTGGGGTTGTACCATGATGTAGCCTCCTATGTTTTAATATTTTCCTTTTTGGTAGGCCAATAGAATCTGAGTGTTGTTTGCAGTGAGCCCTGCAGCAATATTAACTGAGATGATCAATTTTTGGAGGACTAGTTTATTATAGGAGTCCTCTGTTATATTCAGGACTTGAATTAAACACTGATGAAATCTCCTCCTTAAATTTAGCTACGCCACTGTCCGATAGCATCTCTGTATGAAGTTGTTGCCTAATGGTTTATAATCTAGTAATAGGAATTTAAAAGTTTTTAATGGTCAGATAGGAAAGGATTTTGTGGGAAGACTATTAAATGTTCAATATCAATGCCATATGATAGAACGAGGTCAAGAGTGTGATTAAAACAATGAGTTGGTTTATTTACACTCTGTCACCAGTAATTTACTCCAAAAACATTTCATTAAACCTGACCTAAATAGAAGCCCATTTGCTGTTCAGTTTTTATTACCCTTATCTCCTTTGATTTTCAACTTTCCCTTTCTCCGACATAATCTCCATAAAGATAGACGATAATAAGCTCTATCCTCCACTTATCTCTGATCAAAGTACAAATGCTCTTTCTCTTGCTGGTTCTGATTTTAATGACTAGAAGCAGAGAAGAAACATCACAATTTTTGGCATTTGGAACAGGTAAAAAAAATTTTCAACATTTTTTAAAAGATACATATACCATCAACAGTCTTTAATAGCTCAAACGTTAAAATTAAATTTAAATGATTTAGAGCAGACAGACAGCATGATTTGGGCTCTGATGCTGGACCAGAGACCAAAAATTCTCACAGAAGAGACTTGATGTTGGGATCGTGCGGATACGCTACAATCAGAAGTTCAGATAATTTCTTTGTCCTTTTTTCTTTAACAGTGTTGTTGAACCCTGTGAAGAACTTTTCAATCTGACTTACTTCTGTATGAAACAGCAGCAGATAAAGTTAAATCTTTTGAAGCAAAGAAACAAAGTGGTCAAAAACAGAGTTGCAAAATATACATATTTTGGAAATAAAATTATGTAATTCCAAGACTTTTACAGCTTTTTTCTTAAATGAAACATAAGATTAATGTATCAAACGTGAAATGTGTTACTGCCCATAATGTGGTACAATTATTTTTACTATGGTGGCAACTTTAAAGCAAAGAACACTTTATAATAAGGGTAAAAAATCATATACTTAAGTAATACATTATCAGTTAAGGAATGTTAATTTACAGTTACTTCATACATTAATTGATAAAAGACCAAGACAGACCATATTATGACACAGCGTAAAACATTAACCAGCACTTACATAGAAAAGTATAACTTCCTCAACCAGACTTTACTGGGTAACTTACAAAATAAAAACTGCTGCTTTAATGTATGATTTCGTGCCATCTAGCAGTATAGTTGCAGATCACAATTCCCTCGTTTCATCCAACCCTTCCAAGTGCAAAGGAGAAACTACAGTAGATTGAGACCATAACCTCAAGAGTCAAAAATCACACATTTTCCTTGCAGCCAATGAGCTGCCCCATTAGTTGGACCTTCACTGATCATTTCCCTTTCTTCTTTCTCTAAAATATTTCAGTGTCTCTTCAACTCCAGCCATGCTCTCCTTTTCAACCCCACCCTTTCTCTGCCTGAGTCTCCTCCTCTTTCTGTCGTATCACTCCCCTGTTCTCTCCTGTCAGACTGGGACCCGCAGCCAGTGTGAGTCCGCTCCCTTTGTACCAGGCTACAACCTGGTGGGGGAGGGCTTTGATGTGGTCACCCTGCAGCATAAAGGAGCCTACATGATAGATGTGAAGACTTATCTCACCCCAGAAGGCACCTGTACTCTCTGCTCGAATTCTCTTCAGGGCAAACAGATGCAGAAAGTAATTAATACACAAACAATAATATATAAATAATTAATTCTCCAGTGACAGTTGAACATACTTTATGTGTCCATGTTAACCACAGTGTTACCACTTTGATTTTCAGCTGCCGCTCTCTGCAGTGGACTGGCGTGCGTTCAACCGATGCAATCTCGACATCTACAGCAGTGTACACACCTCTGTTAGGTATTGAGTTAACAGCATTATATCTCTGAATGGGTTGTATCAGCCATTTTCATATGCTAAGTAAATGCCATTCCAGTACCTCGATAGTAAATACTTGGCAGTCTTTACTAACGCTCAAAGCTAATCCTTACTGATTTTTCAGGAGGTTAAGTTTAAATGTTGTATCTGTTAATCATGCAAGAACATATGATTTCATTATAGACAGCTCAACTCTCAACACTATCTTTGGCTCCTCACTTTCAGTTTACCATTTAATGTCTACAGATCAGATTTTAAGTCCAAAAGTTTTGTCTGATTCGTAACCTTTACAGAGAGAGATATTACGTTAACAGACTCTAAAATAGCTGCAACATAACCTCTGAAATATAAAAAGCCTTTAAGGTTATTCTTCTTGTAAACTGTGTCCACAGCTCGTTGATTGAAAGTTACACCTCCCAGGAAAGTAAGGACTGGAAGGTAGGAAACATTTCACAGCTATTGCTGACATGAACTGAACATTTCAGAGTCTTTTATTATTATAACTGGTAGGTGCAGACATACACACATGCACATGTAGACATACATACTTATTTTACCAATGGAGTCCCCACCATTGTCCTGAATTTGATTTGAAGCAACTAACACAAAAGTTCTGATCACAGGGCGGATATGATAAAATTTTGGAGCATCTTGAATCTTAAATAAGATACACTTATATGAGTTTTATGGCCCACTAATACTCTTACACTAATACTACTAATATTAAATCTATTTACCTTAATGGCTGTCCCTGACTAAAAATTTTCCTATTTGACTAGTTGTTGTTCAAACCATTAGTTGATGATGACATGATATTCATTGTATTATTTAAATATATAATTTCTTAACAGCAGCCTGTTAAATGCTAACGGCAAAAGTGGTAATGATTTGGAATGTGATGAAAAGAATTGAACAGAGCAAACAAAACTGGAATCATAGTCCTGGTCGGAGCCTCTTTTAACATAATTTTAAGTCACCTGACCTCAATGCCCGTTTGCCTAACTCTGGTGATGGTGCTAATTCTGTCCACGCTCCTATGCTAGTACTTTGTAAACAAACCTCCCCCGGTACTTAGAGCTCAAAGTCTACAGCTAGCTCATGTAGCAGAGCACCACAAAGACACTTCCTGTGTTAGAAAAGTAAAGGTCTGTGTTGTACCAATCCCCTGATGCCTTCGTCCTGGTGACAAAGCACAACTCCCAAACAGAGTTTGACATTTGTGACTATCCAACTAATGAAAAGTGGGCAAACTAAGAATCTTCTTGTCGACTAGCAGTTGACTCAGCCCTAATGCTACTAGAACAAGTATGAATGGTTATATGAATAAATGGTTATATTTAATACACCATATAATGGTGATATCGGGTGAATGGCAAGCTCCTGAGCTTTTACTTTTTATTGATCAGATTGGCCTAAATTTGAAGAAGTTTGTATCAGCTGGCCTGGAGGTGGGAGGAACACGCTCCACTGCGTATAAGTTTGCTTCAGAGAGGACCAGAGAGGACCGCCACTCCTTCAGCACTCACAGACTCACATGCAGCCATTATCGGTAGAGTGTGAAGATTCCTGCAGTACTGCAGAAGATTTTACATTTGAGTTTGTTTAGATAATTTCTGTTAAGATAATTAACTATTCTGTCTCTTTGTGTGTAGTTACCGTGTGTCAAGTGAACCACCCCTCAGCTCTGAGTTTAGTAAGGATGTGGCCAGACTGCCAAGTCTCTACAACGACTCCACCAGGGCTCAGTACAGTGAGCTCATACATACCTATGGCACACATTACATCCGCCAGGTTAAAACGCATACACACACACACACGTACACGCCTTAATTTCCTTTAACAAATAGAAAACAACATATTTTTCTGTCTCAACAACATTGTTCTTTGTTTTCAGGTTAACCTTGGGGGGCGTCTCAGGCGGGTCACAGCTGCACGTACCTGTTTGTCCACACTGAATGGGTTCACCTCAAATGAGGTTCATGTAACACACATCCCTTACCACAATGCATATTAATACTCACACTCTATATGCAAACAAACATTAAATCATTTGTATGTTGTTATTTTCCAAACCCCATATACTACTATTGTTGTGGGTGGGTGTTGTGGTCAAATTTGTAGAATTTTAGGCGAAGTTGTAAGGGGACCTCATGCTTCGTGGCCATTTTCGCCAAGGTCACGTGAGCCCTCCACCACCCATGTCTTTCTTGGTGTGCAGGTCTTTGCCACCATGTATCAATGTGTCTGATGCACCATTCACTGCTCTCAGCATAAAGGCACTATTTAAATAGTCTGCATTGACCATGAATGACATCTTATTTCCTCTCCTGTCTTCTAGGTCCACAACTGCTTATCACTTGGTGTCTCTGTAGGCCTGGGGATGGAGAGTTTATCTGGTAGCCAACAGTCATGCAACAAAGTCCTACAGAACCAGGATCTCACCACCTCATATAGCTCTGGTCTACACCAACACTACACAGCATTGACAGGAGGCACCGGTTGGTTAGGGGAGTTTTCGCTCACTCACAATGACTCCTTGGACTACAGGAAATGGCTGAATACCCTTAAGGACCACCCAGATATTGTTTCATACTTCCTTAGGCCAATGTATAGACTGATGCCCAATGGGAAGAAGAAGGCAGGTGTGAAGGCTGCCATAGAGCAATACTTAGAAGACAATGCCATGAAGAAGTCACCCAAAGAACCAGGTTGTGGGTCCAACTGCTGTCCTAAAGAGGCCTCGAGGGGAACACTGGTGGTGATCATTATCAGAGGCTGGAATCTGAAAGGAGACTTAATTGACCCAACGGACAGGTGAGTAAAATGAGGCCAAGAATTGAGATATAAAGGTGATCTACCAAACAACAATATTAATTTAGTTGCTTTTCCTTGTTTTCTGCTATTCACAGCTATGCTCAGATGTGGTACGGTCCGCACCATCGCAGGACTCATGTGATCCACTCAAACGATCCCTGGTGGAACGCCTATTTTAATCTGGGCACGGTCAGTAAATCTTGTCATTACAGGTCAGCTAAAAAAAAAAACTCATTTTTCAACCTACAAGTAAGTTTAGGGCTGATATACTTCTTATGTCGTAGACTAGAGATACTATGTCTACTGAGGCAGTTAACATAAAATACAAAGAAATGTGTGTAAATAACAACAATCCTTGCCACCATGTGAAAAAAAATGTTCCTGTGAAAACGAAACATCTTAAAACCAATAATAATATCAACTGACGAGGCCCCAAGAACAGTACTAAGCTGTGAGATGTTTTTGGTGTAGAGGCCACATTTTAGCAGCTTCTGGAATCATCACATGTCACACAAACAGCCCAAAAGGTTATGAAAAGGTGCACTCCAAAATGACTACATTTGGAAAGTCGAGAAAAATCTGAAAATGATTATATCCCATTCAACATGTCATGAACCATTGTTCTCTTTACTTATAGAACAGAAATGATAATAATATTTTTAATCTTGTTATATTTATAAATACTTTTTATGAAGGTGGACACACATTTGGGTTTGACGATTGAGGTCTGGGACAAGGACTTGAACTATGACGACCGTCTGGGATCATGTGTGTGGCACCTGAGCCAGGGGACACACAGATTCACCTGTCCGGCCAAGAAAGGCGGCTTTGAGGTCCAGTACACTCTGACCTGCGACCCTCATCTGACTGGAGACAGGTGCAAC